GCCATTCTACCCTGCATCCATAATGGCAATTTTCAAATCAACCCAATCGCCTTTGGGTTGCCCCCTCTTCAATTTCCTCGCACTCTTTTCCCCACTCATTTTCCCCCATCGCAATTTCCCCACTCTTTCCCATTTCCAATTACCCATTCTTTCCCAGCCCGCCACAATGGCAATTTTAAAATCACGATCACCTTTGTGGTTGGCCCAAATTGGCCCCTTTCCCCACCCAGTTTCCCCCATCGCAATTTCCCCTCCCATCTCCAAATGGGCCCATTCTTCCCCAGCCCACCACAATGGCAATTTCAAATCACGATCACCTTGGGGTCGGCCCCAATTGGCCCCTTTCCCCACCCATTTTCCCCATCGCAATTTCCCCACTCTCTCCCCCATTTCCGATTACCCATTCTTTCTTACCCCACACACCCAGAATGGCAATTATCAAATCAAAATTGCGCGGGCCCATTTACAATCGGCCACTCTTTTCAAATTGCCCATCTTTTTTCCCATTCGCAGAAAAATCAGTAAAAAGTGTGTATATTGGTGCTTAACATATCACGCAGAATCAGACCCAACGGAAACAACGAAATCTTCATTTTTGCAGTATACCAATATGATTCAACATTGGGTCAATTGTAGAAACAATGGATTCAAATGAGTTTCGGTCAACGATCTGTTTAGAATTTGAAAGTGAGTTGCAACTATCAGGAAGGAATTTCGGGATTTTCTCTCGTTATGATTCTTGCAAAGCAAACTATCAACTAGATTGTCCTCTGTGTATTTAAATGAAAGAATACTAGTACTCGTTGGTATTTCGTCTGCCAACTCTACTTGGGTAAATTCTTCCAATAAATCCATACAATCGTGAAGCAATCAGTATTAAATAGACTAACGAGGATATATAAACCCTATATGAACCAAAGTCTAGGGTATAACGACTCTTCTTATGGGACAGAGAGGTTTCGAGTGTGGCGATAGAAGATCTTGATGAGCTAAAAGATTCATAATAGACGGACGACCCAGTGTGGTTCAAACAATTCATTTCATTCTGTTAGCAGTATCTAATCCAGTTCGTATTCATCTTGAGAATGCACAATGAAACTACTCCTATTTATATCACTTACCTTGTATATATCTTTTTCTATGGTACAACTTGTCTTTGACTCGCAAATCAACAATCTGTCTAAAGTGAATTCTTAAAGCACCTTTTTAAATAGGGTTGTCCTACTACTATCCTCAGACGCCGGAATCAGTCAATTTTACAAATTCAAGTGCGACTATTTGTCAATTGATAAGTAAATGTGCTAGTATAACACAAAGCAATCAATCATTGAATCAATGAATCAACACAAGCCAAACTCAATTCTTCATCCATAAAGATAACAAAGAGTCTGTTGTGAAAGACACCTTGCCCTAATAAAAGCTGTACCAGGTTATCAACTTGATTTTGTAGCAGCTTAATATAACAAAGATAAGAGACAACTTTTTTCACCAAAGGAAGTAAACGGACATAACCATATGTCTCAGCATGACTTGAAGTACTAACAATCAAAGGTTATGATCAAAGTACTTCTTCTTCAGTTTTCTCAAGTTGTTGTGTGGATTCGAATCTTTTAAACAACATAAAACCGAATGTTTGCGTTCTTCTATTTAAAATAGGAATGATCTTTAAATTTGCCGAGCATACAGTTCCTTTCAGTTCAGTTGAATTGCCTCGTATGCCTATGATTCTGTAGTTAACTGCGACATTATGCTTGTCTCACTATGAAATCAATCTTTGATGGAACAGATTGGTGTCAAGTGGGTTCTATCAAAACTATACAAGTCATAGCCATAAAACTTGATAGTTTCGCCGATACCAAGGCTTTTATGAAACTAAGTTACATGATCAGGTGTATGATAAACAGTGAAAAAAAAGTTAACGGTAAATTCAAATAGCATATAATAGGTACTCTTCAAATACAGTATTCATAACAAGAATATGATTTCATATGGACAAGGTCAAGTCGTTCTATTTGACACCGAGTTCAATACAAAAGTGGCCAGGGTAGATTGAAGTCCCTCTTTCTGCAACTTCAAATTGAGCTTGTCACTAGGCATGACTGATATGACAGAAACCAATAATATTCTATTTATGACGGACTCGTGCAATTCTATAGGTAAGGCTCCGTGAATAAGAGAATGAAAGGTGCTTAAAGAAACAATAAATTGCTCTTAATCCGACATTGTTCTGATTCTCTCAAGCAAAGGACTTGGTTTATTCACTAGTTTGATGGTTGATTGTCCTGTTTTGCACAGTCGCTTGTTTCTCCACTCAATACAGTTTAAACTCGGTTCAACATAGCCGAAACTATGATCTTGAAAATCAGTTGAATTTAAACTGATTCCTGGACACTAGCTCATATCCCTATTGTCTCTAGTCTTGTCGATTAGATAGAAAAATGTATCCGTTCCACAATTGAGGGACGTATTGAGTTTTTAATATAGGCAAAGCGAGTGGTCGTAAAACACCATTCACAATTCTAAATAAATGACGAACTATAGAAGAAATGCTATGTTCACGACTCTTCGAGAACAATGGTGTAGTGAGAAGTGTTGTCCTATTTCTTCCAAGAGTTGCTGTTATTGTTGTCGTCAAATGTGCAAATCAGATAGTAAATTCTGCTTTTATGATCATTTCTGCCAGTTTGTACCAAGACCTCAATGATTTTTGCAATGGAAATAAATACAAGCAACTTTCTTCCGGTCAAGTTGTTGATTGACATAAGATTGATTAGTTCGAATCTAAAACCATTCGTCGAGTATGATGAGGAGTGATATCCTTCTTCATGGAATACTAGTGTCGAGATCGAGTTGAATCATAAACTTGATATTGTTCTTCCTATGAATGTTGTTGTCTACACTTTCCAAACCAGTAAAGAAAGTTACAGCTATATAGAGAATAATATCTACAGAAATGCAAATAATGATTCTGCAAGTAAGATTGTATATGCCTTGCTTTATTCTAAACTTTACCTTTTCGAATAGAAATTTGATTGTATTCTATCAGTGAGGATTGTATGATATTCATTTTAGATATAAAAAAAGGGAAGAAGAAGAATAAGGTGAGTGTGAAAAGGATAAAGAATGCCTACAGTAATCAGGTCTTTGAAGCTTTGGACAATTTATAACGATTAGGGATGCCATGAAATACACAAACATTAAACATATTGTTTCAACAGCCTACTTTTTATCTTATGGTGTTCAAATACAGGTCATGCATATCAGTAGAATGGATAAACAAAACAAAATGCCATAAACGCTCTACTATTACCAGTATGAGATACTACTAGGGAATACTTTTTCTATTAATGACGACAAGAGTATCGTTGATGTTTCTAGAGAGAATCAAAGTCAAGACTTTTGGCTCATAACACTATCTCTGTAGTCTATTGAACTAGAAAGCCATTTTTTTCTTTTTTCACTTTATATCTTTCATCATATATTTTCTTCCAAAGCAAATTGGTGTATTTTTTGTTTAGCGAGTTGTATAAAAGTTGAAATGAAAGGAATCATTTTCTTCATCTTGTACTATATAACATATAAACATGAAAAAAGAGATTCAATAGCTTGTATCAGCAAGGTTACTTTGCTTCTTTTTGCAGCTCCTTTGTGACCAATCGTCTGCAATCTAGTTGAGTTTTCTTCTAAATCAAATGATTCTGTAGTATATGAATAGTATAGTTTATCGATGTGATACTTTATTTTAATTAAAGTTCAGTTTTTAGTGTTCAGTAATTGCAACTTTCTTGAAAAGATAAGATAACAAGATGATGACTACTCTCCGACCAGTCAATAGAAACAAGCAATAGACTTTTAACACAGTATCTTTATCAAAAAAAAATAATGATTCTATGACGCAAGTTGAGCTTGGTGCCAAGGCAGTAAAGCGAGAACGTTCTCACCAATACTGATAGGAGTCAATGGATTCAAACAAAGCTTAATTGAATTCCGTACAGATACAAGAATAGTGGATGCTGATTGATCTATGCTCATCAATAGTAACATGTTCTCAATATTCCAGAAACACATTGTCACTCAATATGAAATTGAATACACAAATGTACCAAAATTGAATTATGGACAACGGCTTACCCTCATATTGCACACAGCATACAAATATCAAGGGAAACATTGAAACTTTGTTGTAATTCGGATTCTCACCCAGTGATTCTCGAATGAATTGATCTTCGACTTGATTTTAAGTGATCCAAATAATAGTCTGTAAATCATCCTTTTAGAGTAGGGACTAGATTATTTTAGGCATTTCGAGATAATCTTGGACAATTCGACTTTGGATCAAGCATACAGGGTACCTAAAGACCACATAAAACACTGCTTCGGATGTAAAGACTCTGTACATACAACAGCAAGATTTCAAGTGCAAAGGTACAAAGTCTTTATCAACTTGACAGCTACTAGTCAGTAAAGTATCAATTCTATCTTAAAGAAGCCATCTTATACAAACACTATCTAACAGAAACTCTATTGGATAACCCAATGTCCACATAATGACAATTCAGCCAACTCTCTCTTAGATACCCCTAAAAAGATAAAAGCGTATAATAGTCTTACTATCAAACATATGATTTTGAATAAAAACGTTGATTCAACTTTTTGTGCATCGAGTTGTGCCGTTATCTTGTCTTAACACATTGACTCCATTCATTACTAAGGTTATATTTTAATAGCCAACTTTGAATGTTTCTAACAAGCAACGCATTTAGATTTGAATACTTGAAATAAACTGACATCTTATTCTTGATTCTTGTCTGGGAAATGACTATAGCTTACTCAGTAATGGCTGGTTGGAACGAAATTATATAACTGAAGGTACTTTAAAACAGTTAGTTATGAATTGAATCAAATACAGTTTGAGATATTTATATCTGAACAAACAACTAGTTAATATCAAAATATATAAACTAGTAGTAACATATTCGTGGCGCTGCAAAGGTATAATGCGATTCATGGCTTGAGTCGATTCGCGAAGCTATCTAGGATGAGATGGTCAACGAAAACGTATCCATTATCGCAAATAGAGTGCAAGTGTCGCGGAGGAATAATTGGACACTCAAACACTACCAAGTTTTTCTCAAACCAAGTCTTCATCTCCCTAGTCCTCTGTATCTTTAGTAATAACACTAATACTAGTACTATATGGAAAATCGTTTTTCTCGGGATAAGGACTAACTCGTTCGATAGATTCAGTATAATCTCTAAGAATTCAAAAGTTGAATCAACCATAGAGGACATTTCATTTACTTATGAAACAGAATTTCTTCTTGATGAGATATTCGACTAGTAATCAACATATGACCAACTCCTACACAAAAAGTCATCTTAGATGAGCAGTATCAAGAAATATCTTACTTTCTTTCCATTGAACAGTAAATCATTGAATTCAGTATACAATTCAAGTAATATAAAACAGTAACCAGTTTCTT